TTTACCAACAGAACTGATGGTTTAAACAAGCAGGCTCCTCAGTGTGTCTCTAAATTATTACAGTCAGACTTACAGTTTATCTTTCAGTGTATTGTGTTTTGAAAAGGCTGCTGTTGTTTTTTTTTCTTGTTTTCTTTTGTTGCCTGTGTATGATGAAGGATAACCTGAGAAAATATAAATCAATCTCCAAATGACAATTTAATATAAGCAAAAACCCTAATTGTCGCCTAAAGCTAACAGCTGGTTATGCACCCTTTAGCAGCAAAAATCAGTGTTATGGGCTTCAAATAATTGGCTGTGAGGGTTTTGCTTCCATGTGTAAGAATTTTAATATCTGATACAAAATTGTTTAGCTTTAGGAGCCCATTAGTCATAATACAGCACTTCTATCAAATTATAGTCTGGACTTAGACTAGGACACAACTTGATTTTTTTCCCCTAAGCTATTCGGGGAGGGACTTGTTACTGTATTTCAGATCATTTTCATGCAGCATAGAGCTTCATCTTAAGGTAATGCACTAGTGGCCTTAAGATAAAAAATCTAGTTTATAGATTTTATACAATACATTTTATAGATGCAGCATAGATTTATAGAGACAAATTCACGGTTTTATAATTAGAGGTTGTCCAGGTCATATAGAAGGACAGCAACCCCAGAACACCACAGTAAATCCAGTATGTTTAAGTTTTTCTCAGATAATCATCAATATGCTTTAGAGTAAATGTGAAAAGAGCCTCTTGGGGATTTTTGTTCAGCAGTTGTCTTCAGCTTTGAACCCTCCCACTGATCCATTTTTGCCTACTCTCCATAAATTGGTTTCTTTTAAGATAGACATAATGAGCTGATGTAGTATTTTTTTGCAGGCATACCACTCCTGGGGAGCTATACCAATGTTTCTTACTTTTTTTTTGTTTGTGAAAAATGGTTCTCACTGTGGCTGAATGAAATTACTAAACCTGAACTGTAAAAGACTATTTTTCCAATCTATTCTTAATCTAATCTGTAGATTACAACATATATTGTTTTTCAGTCATTTTGCCAACTTCATTTTGTCAGACAGTTTTTTTATTTTTTTATGATTCTTTTCTTGATGCCTGGTGGTGACCAGGCTTAGCTCTGGCTGGTGTAACTGAACTATGCTGAATTAAAGAAGCTTTATTCTCTAATAAATGAAACATTTACTTGAGAACTGCATTTGGTGTCTAAGGTATTTCAAAAGGCTTAGTTATTAGGAAAAAGTCATATTATGACAGAGTACTGTGAGACAGACTTTCAGATGATACTGAGTTAACAGGGAAATCATGAGATGAATGACTTATCCTTGTGATACGCCTGGTGCAACCTGAGCCAGCCAGCCAAACAGACTGCTGAATCTTATCAGCTTACGACACTAAAAAAGCAGGGGGACTGATGAGAGAGATATGGAGATGATTGTCTTTTGTAGTCAAAACATTAATTTTTTTAGCTTGAACCTGAAAAATAAATGTAGATGGGGGAAGCACTGGGAGGAGTGGCAGATTTTACAGAATTTTCCACTGTGGTTTGTTAAACCACCACCACTGAATGACTAAACAGAGCGACTTTGAACTAAATCCCAATGCCAGAAGGCTAATATACTCTGTGTTTAAAGATTCAAGCATGCTAACATTTTTAATTGGTTTAAAACTAACCACATTTATGTGAGGGTTTGATTCTGTATTCAAGTTTTCAGAAGCATATTGTTTGTATTTAACACGGAGTGATTTAATGCGTTTACTGTTACATAAAGCAGATCTGTTAGCATTTAGTTTATTTGCTGCAGTAAATTGAAATGTTTGTCACACCACAAATTTCAAAAACTATAAAGTTGCGATAGTGTTTGCCAAAAAGGTGCTTTTATTATATTCTTTAAGTAATATAGTTTGCATGAAGCATCAGAGATTTTAAAAGGAAATCAGAAACCTTTTCATGTTTAAAAGATAAAAAAAACAACTTTAACACATGGTGCAGGAGCAAAATAAAAGACCTTTCAAAATAGAATGTATTATTATCATTCATTTGTGATTTAATAATATTATTTTTTTCTGTTTTTACATCATAATAGCTTTAGACAGGAATGCAAAGAACCAAAAACTTAAACGATTTGTGCCTCATATTTGACCTTTTATGTACATATGTTGGCCTGCATGTTCATAGCATCAATCCAAGAGCCAGGCATGTCTTATCTAGCCTGCGGTGAAGTAATAAACTGTATCAAACAATGCTGTGTACCATTGCACAACAAGACCTGAAAAGTACATGCAGTTTCTGTGGTTTTCATGCCACCCTTTCTGAGGTCTAATCCAACCTAGATGCCAAAGTACTTACACTCTTTTTCAAGAACTTATTTTCACAAAGAACTTTTATTCAGAGCTTATCGGCACCAATGACTCTCCTAGGCTTACTGTAATCAAGTGCGTGGTCTTGGTGATGAGAAAATAAGAAAACAGTTTTTAAAATGTGTTAAATGAAAGAGTGCTTTAAATTGTGAATATTTTTTTCACTTTAAACTGGGGGATTAATTCATAAACATGCAATAAAAACAAATGTTGCTAAGCGATTTATGTGTATTTAGGAAATGTGCTTTCAATGCACATTCAATGTAAAAGTTCACATTCGGTCAGATGAAAAAGACAAATATTTTATTATTAGGTTTATTTTTGATTAACTAACACTTAGGCCTATTTTCAAAGGGAAGGAAAACAATATACCTTTTTTCTAATGTTTCACAAATCATCAAATCCATCTATACTTATAATGATAATTAGTATAAATAATATTAAAGCCTTTATCCATCCATCCATCCATCCATCCATCCATCCATCCATCCATCCATCCATCCATCCATCCATCCATCCATCCATCCATCCATCCATCAGAGCTTATTAACTGCTCCAACTTGCAACCCATGCAAAATCACATGCAACCAATATTCTTAGGAAGTCCTCTTAGTAGGCTAAATAGTCCTCATGTATTTAATCTATAATCTAAACATACATAAATTATAACACAGATGAATATCCATCAAGACCTAACTGTCATTTTGCACTGTTGACCACCTACCTCTACAGCTGAGCTGTTGATGAGCAGTGGAGCGTGGTTAGGACGGTTCTTCCTGATGTCAACAATGATCAGGATCAGGTTGTTGTCTCTGCACCAGCCCACCAGCTTCTCCACCTTCTGTCTGTAGTCCTGGTCGTTGTCGTCTCTGATTAGGCCAACCACTGAGTGTCATCTGCAAACTTCCCGAAGTGGTTGGTGGTGAACCTGGGGACACAGTCATGTGTCATCAGAGCGAACAGCAGAGGGCTCAGGACGCAGTCCTGAGGGGAGCCTGAGCTTGGGGTGATGACTTCAGAGGTGTTCTGTCTGACCTGGACTGACGGAGGTCTGTTTGTGAGAAAGTCCAGCAGCCAATTGCAGAGCGGTGTATTGAAGCCCAGCTGTTCCAGTTTCCCTATCTGATGCTGTGGGATGATGGTGACCTGAAGTCCAGGAACAGCATCGCACACAGGTGTTCTTCTCCTCCAGGTGTACTAGGCTCAGGTGAAGAGCAGAGGAAATGGTGTCTTCAGTGGGGCTGTTCCGTCGGTAGGCGAACTGGAACAGGACGAATGTTGGGGGAAGACTGGAGACAATGTGTTCTTTAACCAGCCTTTTGAAGCACCTCATCATGATTGGAGTCAGTGAGACAAGCCGGTAATCAACGATGTCGGCAGACTTGAAGCATGCTGGCACTATGGATTGGTCCAATGAGGTGTTAAAAATGTCTGTGAGGACACAGCCAGCTGAACTGCATGCGCCTTGTGCACCTGTCCAGGTATGTTATTGGGGCTTGGGGCCTTTCTTGGCTTGACTCTCCTCTTCCACACATCAGAAGGTTGAGTGCCTCTTCTCCCTGATGAGGAACAGCTTTCAATGCTCGAGTGTTGTTTAAAGCTTCAAACCTTTCAAAGAAGTTGTTTAGTCTATTATGGAAGTCAGCATCAGCTGCACCCTCCGGGAAGGAGAGTTTGTTGTAGTCTATGATCGCCCCTATGCCTTTCCACATCCTCCAAGTGTTGCTAGTCATTGAACTCATGGAAGAGATCCTGGATCTTCCGGCTGAGGTTCTGCTTCATTTAATGATCTTAAGTTAATGTTTTACTATGTTAACTTAAGAATAATTATATAAAGTCAGTTATCTGATTAATAATGTTTCTTCTGCAATTTGTGTCTGTTTTATACACACATCTGATACCAAATTATTTCATTTTGGCTTAAAAACATGAAAAAAACAAATCACAAAAAAGATTATTAAGCTACTTCTATCTAGTTTTGATCTCTACAAATTCCCAGACTCCTTCTTCATTCCACCAGCCTAAGATTTAAGAAAAACGTTTCTCAACTCCTTTAGTAGAGAGGCTGATAAAATCCCCCAAAGCAAAAAAAAGACCCCTCTTCTCTGGCACTTTTCATCTCTTGGTACCACAGTGCCACATGGGGGAATAAATAAACAAGTGAAAAAAGAAAACTTTGCCAGTTTTACTCCATAAAAGGATTAGAAAGGAGAAAGTCCCCATCATTTCATTCCTTTGTCACAATGGGGTCACACGGGTAGTGGTGGGAGTTTATAATAAACATACACATTCCTCACCCCCTACTCTCAAAAGCCCTCATAAACAAACACTAAAACGACCTTATGTGCTGCTCTGTTCCATTAGAACACCTGTGGAGTATGCTGGAACTTCATCTGTAAAGTAAATGATCAAATACAGATATGTTCATCTCCGCTTTAAACAAACACTCCTCTACAAGCAAAGCATACCTCCCGGTGCCGCTGAGCCAATTAACATGCAGAACAACACTCAGCTTTCTGTCCCCCCCTCTTCTAGAGTGGTTTAAAAAAATGCTTCAAAAAAAGGGAACACTGATGGTTAGCTGAAAGCCCGCTTGGGAAAGAGAAGGCACAGTGAAAAACAGAGGGGAGAGGCTGCCAGAGGAGAAACAGAGGGGGTGTTAAAAAGGAGGAGGAGGAGGAGGAGAGTCTGAGAAAGAGCTTAAAAACTGTGAGAACTGCAGACGCTTCAGAGCGCATGGAAAGAGCAGCCAGACTGGGAACAAAGAAGATCAAGACAAGAGTTTATTCAGCATCAGAAAGGTAGAGCACTTTTAGATCTTTTCATTCATTTTGTGATAAACAACTTATTTTACCCAGCTGCAGAACACTTGCTTGTTTAATTTACAGCAGTCATGTTTCTAAGGTCAGATTGATGAACTTTTCTGGCTGTTCCATTTTCTTTGAATGTAAATTTAGTTTCTTACATTCATCTGGCTTCCTGCCAAGAGTAAATGGAAGGTCTAGTCCAGGTCAGCCCAATAGTAAGATTCATTTATCTTATGGTGTTTACAGGATGCAAACCAGAACATTGGAGATGTCTGAGTTTATAAATATATCTCTGAGCTTCAAAACAAAAAAACAAAACCATGTTTTTCTAAATCTTGTTATGAAAATGTGGTCAAGCAGGAAACAAGGGGCTCATTGCTGAACACTTTCAGCAAAGGAATCATTGGAAAAAAAAAAAAAAAGTTATCCAAGAAGAATCTAGTGATAAATAAGTCTGCTAATTGGAATTGTTTATAAAGTCAATATATATACGTTGTGAATTCTCGCTTTTCTTTGCATAATTAGTCTGTGTTTTAGTGTTAAGGGTGAACAACAGCAATGCAGCCCTTACGACCTCACTACCTAGAGACCGTCTGTCATGCGACTCCCCCTCTACAAGTCTATCTACTCTTAGTTTTCATACAACAAATCATATGCCCCTTAAAAGTCCCTCAGGCTATTTCTTATATGTGACAGGAAGGGCACATGCAAGAGTTGAAATACTAGGATATTAACATTTTCTACTTAATTTGGCTCTGATAAAAAGTAAACGAGGCTCTGGCTGTTGCCTCTCCTCCAGTTATTGGTCTGCATTAACTGTGATGCGTACTCATCCAGCAGCTTCAGATTATTGATTTTCTTCAATTCAACATTTCAACTCTTTCCCAATCCTGGGATAAATAAAAATAACACCTCAACAGCATCACTTTGAGAGATTTCAGTACTGCTAAAACCATTACTGTCATGGTCTTAGCGCCAATGACTGGCTTGATTGTTAATTCCATTCACCTGTCTAGCTCCGCACATCTATGTCACCTGCTCCAGTCTCTATTTAACCTGCCTGCTTCCAGTCGTCAATGCCAGATTATTCGAGCCTTTAGTGAGAGTTCTCTAGCGTACCTGGTCGTTTTCTGATTGCCTGACCCATTCTGCCTTTGGACCTCTGAGCCTGCGTGTTCCTGTTCTGATCTGTTTGCCTGACCTGTCTTTGGAATTCTGCCTGTTGACTGAACCTGGAACAGACCTGGATAACCCTTAAATACCTATTTGGATCTTTGATCTGATCCTTTGCCCTGGACTCCTGTGAACCTTCTCAACACTGGTTTTGGCTTGCGTTCTGGATAGTCCTGCCTTCCTTTGTGTGCTTGGATCTGATCTCCTGCATGTTGTTCCGTCACCAAAGCTTTAGCGTCTGGGACTCTCTGGGCAGCGCATGCTGTGTGGTGTTGGTAGCTGTTCAGTTGGAATCCACCTCTTCTTCTGCGCACGGATTGAACTTTAAGACCAAAGGTTCCGGTCTTAGATGTCCGTGCAGAATCCACAGTTTCTTGATAAACACCTTTTTGAGAAATCTGTCTGCCTTCATTACTGGGTCCTCTGTTTCTAGCCTTGACAATTGCATCATTAAACATGTATTGTAGCTCCCTCCTGTTTTTGTGAGACTGCCTCAAATGATTATTTCAATCACAAGAAATCTGGTTTTGAAATTCTTATCTATTATAAATAAAATTGAAGGGCCAATAGTATTTTTTCATAATTCATATTATACAAAATTTTAGGTTTGCAGCATTTAAAAATGTATCCCCTTACAACAGACGTTCCATATTGAAGAATTAAAGGAGTGTTACGAATAACATTAAATAATCAGTCAATGCAATTGATTCATTTTTTGTTTTGTTTTTTTCTACAGAGATGGCATCCCCTAGCAGGAACCTGGCTTTTCTTCTTCTTTTCATCTTACATCTAATTGACTCCCAAATCTTTGCTCACAGTTCTACATCCTCCCCACCCATTACCCGTAAAAGGATCATAATACTAACTGACCCTGGCTTAGAAATTGATGAAGGTGATTATGATGATGGCTTTCCTCCTGAAGTGGTGACCTCTCAAAGAAGTCCCCGTTTGTCCAGTGTGAACCACTGTCAGTATGACCCCTGCTTGGAGAATCAGGAGCCCTGCGAGAGTCTGAAGGCTAAAACTGGGTGCATGTGCCCTGGGAAGAGTGGTGAGGACATGGTTCCTCATGCTCCACGCATCCAAGCACTGCAGCCGATCACTGAAGGAGAAAACAGAGGACAGATAGTAGTGCAATGGTGTGCTCCCAACTCAGCTGTTTCCACCTATAAAGTGACTATAGAAGGAAGTGAGGTTACAATTTTTAAGGAAAATCATCGACGAGCTTTGGTGAGATCTTTGGAGGTGGGGACGAAGGTTTGTGTGGAAGCAGTGAACAGCGCCGGGACCAGCAGTCCTACAGACTTCTCCTGTAAGAGATACGAACGACCCGAATCTTCCGACCACAAACTGCTGGCTGGGGTCATAGGAGGAGGAGTCGCCTTCATTCTTATTCTCCTTATAGTAGCTATAGTGCTCTGTAGAAGACAAATGTGTCGAAAAGCAAAACGGGAATCTGTCGTTGGATCATGAAACCCCTCCTAGAAATCAGAAAGAGCATCATGATCCAGACAAGAGGAATGTGGAGAGTTCAGCCAAACTCATTAAAAAGAAAAGATCAATAGTTTTTTTTGTGTGTGTCTTATACTAAATACATTCGTTAAACTTCTGTCTCGAGGAGTCTACAGAAAATAATGCAAAAAATTAGCGGTATCTGTTGTTTTGGTGTTAGTGTTACAGGTTTGTTTGCAGGCAAATTAACCTTTGTAGATTAAATTTAAAGCATGTTGTTGTTTTACAGCTTAACTTACATAATAACTGTGTTGTTGTGGAATTCTGTCATAAATAGTTTTAATAAAACATATTTTTTTATGAAAAACTCTGGTAATCATTGATTTGATTTTGTACTGAAAATGTATTTTCTTTGTTTATGTACATGGATGAATCTACATAATTAAAAAAAAAACTAACCTTGGATAACATTCAGCAATATTCTTTGCATAGCCACCATTGCAACTTTTACACATGTTGTCATAAAATAAGAAATATGCATATGTGCTTAAAATGAGCACGGGGTTTTAAGTGGACATTCAAAATAAAATGTATTAATTTCCATAGTTACTATGGTTTAAAGCAGCAATAGTAATATAATTTTTTATGGCGATTATGCATTACAGATTATCAAAACCCCCAAAATGTGTTTTTTAAAGAAATGTTTACATTATATAAAAACAATAATACAGCATTTTAGATAAAGGAATATGTGATGGAGTTAGTAATTCCTGGAGGAGCTGGCTGATCATAAAGTGCTGTTACTGTAGAGCATGTTACTGTAAAGTGGAATAACAGGAAGAAATAGAGGTATAAAATGTTCATGGCCACCTTGGGAAAAAAAAAGTAGCTTTTAGGTCATCATGAAGCAAAACCTTAAAAAGGTTGGGGAAGGATTCAGAGTAGAGACAATGAATGTAGTACTGATAGTAGTGAGGGCTTTAGGAGCACACAGATATTTTTTTTTTATCAGTTTGTCACTACTACTGGGAGTACATTAAATTGTTTTTTAAATGCTAAGACAATAGTTTTTTTTCCTTTTAAAAATATATATATATTTTTTTTTTATCACTAATTTGTCCTGAACTCTATGGGAATATACATGGACATCATTTGTACCTTAAAACTATGGCAAAATTAACATCACACACAAAAAGCTCAGTTTTATTTTGAAAGTCTACTGGAGTGGGGTTTGAGCATACTTATTGGCTTGCTGCCTCAATCCCTTTGCTAAGTCCCACCCACTTTTCTTTCAGAGCCAATTAGTTGTTAGCAAATAATATGAGGAAGAAGGTGTCCTCTTATAGGAGGGGATTACAGCTCATCTTCACATCTTTAATCATTGAACAGGATGGCAAACACAAGTAAGTCCATTTCCCTTTTGTAGCAGGTATAATGTCATTACCTTCAGACATCCGTCTGCTTTTAAATCCCGAACTGAAACAACATTTAGACTGTAATGTGTTTTTTTTTCAAGATCATCACAATATTTCCTCATAATATCTCATAATTACTGAAGATTGTTTAGAATATCTTACCAAAAATAGGGATATTTTTTAGAAATTCAGAGTTTTACTACTTGTGAATATTGATATATTTCAAAACTGTATACTTTCTTAATTAGTTTCATTTTATTCAATATTTCCTTTAAGTGATTTCAATTTAATTTAATTCAGTTAAACTCAATTCAACCTCAACCCAACATAATGAATAAAGTTTTCATTCCTCCTGTATGTAAACTATGGACAGTCACTGCATTCATTTTCTAGCAGTTCCTGTAGTGTCAGTAGAAAGGGGAAAGTCTTCTTTAAAAGAAGAATCAGATCCAGAGTGTGAACAGCACTATGCTACATATGACTTGGGTTTTGAGCAGACTTAAGCACAAACCCACTTATCCGGAGGTACTTGTTCAACAAAAGAAAAAAATGTAATGGCATTGTTGCCTTGTAATTTGATCTAGTAGAGAACAGATCAGCTCTGAGTCAGTTTCCAGGTCTAGAGGAAGAAAGGCAACACATACGGTAACTTACTAGTTCTAAGAGAGAGACATGGTTAACTATTGACAGGGATGTTACTGTGATCCTTTGTAGAGTGACTCAGCAATCTAGTCTACTCCCAGAAGAGACTGGACTCTACTGGGAGTAGTCGGTTGCGGGTAGCAATACAAAACAAATCATGAAATTTGCAACCTGTTGCCCCGCCTGCCAGGACGCCATGACTTTACTCCTAACTCCCAGAAAGAGGTAGTCTTATAAGCAGGGTTTAGGTATTTTTTTATTTTTTTGGATAGTTACTCAGATATCTGTCATCTTCACCTTTACCCTTCACTGATTCCAGTAATTTGCTTTGTGTAAAACATCAGAGGTTCATGCGTATCTCACAGTAGATTTTTTCATAATGGCAGATATTTTTCTCTATTCACCTGAAGTGGGCGGAGTGAACTTCAACATGACCTCACACTGGGAAACTATCTGGTCACGGCGAGGAATGTGGTTTAAAGTGGCAGTTTGTACATACAGCCGTCAATTAACTAAATGAGAAATAACTGTTGTAAGACTTCGTACAAACAATATGTGCCTCTGGGGGGAAAAAACATCTGGTGAAAGACTAATCTGTCATTTTGACTTATGATTTTAAAAAGAGGTTGATACAAATTTCTGAAACCCTTGTGATGCTTTATCTTGTTGATTTCCCCCCTCTATCTCTTTTCCAGTCACATATGAGGAACTGAAAGCTCTTATTGCAAAGAGCAAGGATCTGGTTCTGATTGATGTCCGCTCTGAAGATGAAGTGAAAAGAGGGAAGATCGCTGGTTCAATTCACATTCCCAGTAAGGCTTTATTTAATATATTGTGTTAGAGTGGTTTTAAATAAGATATTGGTGCCCATTGAAACCAGGTGTGCTGTTTTACATAAAGAGTGTGACGTGGTGAGTGAGGATAGCAATTCCTGTTTTTCAAGCTCTCTGTAATTTACATTAAATCGTCATAGTGCAGTACTGTATGTGATTGACAGGCTGATTTTGTCTCCTCCCTACAGTTCAAACAGTAGATGCTGCTCTTGCCATGACACCGGATGAATTCAAGGCCAAGTATGGAGTAACAAAGCCAGCCCTGGGTGATTCTGAGCTGGTGTTTTACTGCCAGATAGGAGCCCGAGGGGCGAGGGCAACAAGCATGGCACGGGGAAAAGGATATACCAAGTAAGTTAGTCATTTTTGTTGTGTTTTTTATTTTTTTTGACTCTTTTTATCTGCTGATGATATCTGTAGCTCCTTTTTATTTATTTTTTTTTCTGATTTTATTTGTATCAGAATAAACAGCTGCTAAAAGTCAATCAAAAGTCCATTAAATTAAGGAGTCATTTTTGCCATTTTCATCATTTGACAAACGTACAAAACATGCACATTTGATAGACTCTTTTTTAAATTATACATTTTAAGCTTATATTGTTACACATTTTCCTGACTACTCTACGGACTAGTTATTACATTGTTTTCTAAAATTGAGGCTTAATAAGATTTGTTATGATTTTTTTTAGCTTTTTGAAAATGTGTTAATACACCAGGTTTGTGAGTAAGCACAAGGATTTTACCTTCCAATTGACAAATATAGTTATAGGTCTTAGTCCTGGCTATAATAAAATAGGGATGAGTTAAAAGGTTTTTGTTGAAATGTTGAAAATTGTGAGCAACCATTTTAATGGATTAATCTAGATTCCCTCTGCGTTTGTGGCATTTAATCCAATTAAAAAATATATTAAAATGGGTTTTCTTGGTTTTAATTCTTTTTTTGCAATACCAGTGCAATTTTGATTTCTTTATTTCAGCTAAAATGAATCTTGATAGCAGTTCAAGCTCCGTACTGCTTTAGAATACCTATTGAAAGACTTTCAGCTTAAGAACTGTGATAATATTTCTTCAGTCTGTTTTTTGTCTAATTCTGTGTTTTCTTTCTTGCTTTTATTCAGTGCACGTAATTATGCTGGAGCCTACAGCGAATGGTCAAGAAGACAAAGGAACTAATTTATTTGCAAGATGAAGCCTCACATATTTATATATAGATATATAATATATATATGCAAAGAATTTGTTGGTTTTTATACAATAAAGCATTGTAATTGTTACGGTAATTTGAATTCATGGCACACAATAAGTTAAGATAAAGAAAAATAAAATATGTTGTTTAGTACTAAAAGTGTCTATTGGAGATTATTAGAGTGGTTCATCTATGAACTACATTGAGACTCACCCATCTCAGTGTCTTCTCACAGTCTAAATCCATATTCCTAATTTCTCACCTTAAAAAAATACAGGCATTAAAAGTCAACTTATTTATATATAAAAATACCATGGTGATCAAAATCCAGTCCACGTTTTTAATGCAACCTTAGTGCTAACACAGGAGGACATGCAGGGTTCATATACTGTTCACTGTGCCAGATATTGAAACAAGACAGTTGTTATGACAAATGTCATTGTAATTTTTATCTTATCTCATCTAGACTAGTATAATTCTCTTTGTAAATTATTGAAGATTTTAAGCAATCTAGTACTTGAGTAAATATAAATAAAAAATACAGCAGCTAGTTTAAAGTATTGCTGTGGAGACACATTATAGGATCACATCCAATGGTTTGTTTTCTCTTTACCTGGTGCTTCTTTTAGCCCCACTTTTAGCCCATGTTAAGTTAAATAATTATTGCTCAGTCTAGTTTAATAATCTCCCGTTGGCATTTAGGAGTAATTAAACCAACACAAATATTTTAATTCTTAAAGCTTGCAGGTTCGCTTCTCAAACACCATAGGAGGCCCACAAAAACAAAAAGAACCATTGCATTCGGAGAGGATGTGCAGAACAGCTCAGTTATCCTGGATTCATAGAGGAGAAACCACAGGGATGTTTTTCTTTTATTATTACTTATCTTATTAATTTATCTTTATTTTGGTATATTGAGTATGTTTAAAAATTTAATATCCATCACACCTTCCAAACTGAAACATCCAGAGAAGTGCTGTCTCCTGTCACGGTGAGTTTTTATCACATTTAGAGCCTTCTAGAAGGTGTGAATTGTTTAGCTGTTTTGTCAATTGTAAGAAAAACTAAAAACATAATGAATTAAGCTTTTAAATCCTTCGCCTATTACCAAATATTCATGTACAGTGTAGTTTGCAAAGGTTTCGATTGCACTGGTTCCAGCGTCAGTGCCAGTAATCCAGTAATAGCTTATTAGTTCCACATTGTTTAATTTACTTGAACTGCAGAGAATAATTAATGAACAAAGTTGTGAAATTCTTAGTTTGAAGTATATTTAAGATGCAAGTTTTTTTAGTAGGGCCCATTCTGCTTTACTTCAATTCTCTAAAAAAAAATCACCGGAATGTAGAAAATAATGTATATTGTGAGAAAAATGTTCCACATAACTACAGATCACTTATTGTTATTCAGTAACATTTACTGTGTTATAAAAATTCCACATTTTGCCGCTTTGTTTCAGTGAAATCCTCTGAAAACCTCAAACCTATAGCTGCACCTGTCCTCATCTAACCCTGACAGGGTTTCCTGTCCAAACTATTTCAAAATCTCACACCAAGGTATGGTGAAAAGTTGGTAGTCCACTAGATTGGGCGGATTTTACACACTCAAGCTTAAATCTATATTAAATATAACAACAAAAAGAAAAACGAAAGAAAGAAAAATGTCTTTAAAAAAAAAAAAAAATGTGCATTTATTTTATTGGTATTTTAAGTGGCCAGGGGTCAGGTGAGCAAACTAGAACAAAAAAAAAAACAATTAAAAAATAGGCTCTAGCTATTTGCTATAAATATTTAATGAGAGCGAAAGGAGAAAACTAAACCTCATTTAATTAGCCATTTTATGCACCTGCTCCTTAAATCCAACTTCAACATTAAAGATGTTGAAAGAAATGCGGCAGGTAGTCTAATATTTGAATTTGTTTTATTCCAACCTAAATCTAGACTATTACGATTTATTCCTTTTAAAAACATATAATTAGCTAATTATTGAAGCTAATCCTTTTACTAGCATGATGTTAGCTTGCTAATGTGTTTAGGTGCTGCGGCTAATCAAGCTAATAGGAAAGCAGAGGGAAAAGGCTGGTTTGAAGACTGTTGGAGGACTTTTAGTGCTTTTATGGACCCATAAAGCCTCTTCCTCTTTGTTAAACTGCACTGGTAAGATATTTTTATGGCTATGGCTATAATTTCAGATAATCTGATCTGCTGAGCTGAGATGCTAACTTTATGTTGAAATGTTGCTGGTTAGAGCCCCACTTTCATCAGTACAATGGAAAAATATATGTGGAGTTGTTGTTTTTTTTTTTTAAAGCAAATCTTCATATATATGAACTATTTCGGCCTTTTGGGTTGTTTTGAGAGGAAATTCTACTTCCGTATATAAACGGTTGTGACGTTAGGAAGTCTGCTTAGCTTTACAGCAGTAAAGTTTACAATTTTAGACCTGTTTGTAAAAAAAAATCTTTATGATTTTAAATACTTTTCCTTAAGTTGTAAATTAAAAGTATTTATTTGAATTTCAACACCCTCTAAAATGGACAGGTTGATCCAAACTCCCCCATTACCATAATAAAGAGCTATATTTAAGATGCAGGTCCAGCAGATTCCACAACAGTTTCTTCCCCAATGCCATTAGACTGCTGAATGTTTGAACTAGTTTTCAAGGCTGCACTTTTAAAAAGATGAAATTGTCCAGAGAGTTGCTCCAAACAAAGTTTCTTTTTGTTTTACACTTTTGTAAACAAAATGAAAAATAAATCTGTCTAAGTCTCTCTCTTTTAGAGTTTTTTTTAAACGTTAGCAATCATTAAACAACCGATAACATGAAAAGCTAAAGTATCTAATGATTAATAATATGAAATCTTCTGTGATAAGTATTACAAAAATAAAGTAATATGAAAAATTTTAAGGTTTTAACACATTCTTTTAACCTACAAGTTTAAAAATCCTTCTTTTCTTTTTTTAAAGTAACAAAGAGTATATTTTACAATTATCTATTTCACGGCCTACCAAAGGTTTCATCAAGCCAATGGACATTTTTAACTAACTGGGTCCTCAAAATCTGTTAATTTATTTCTATTAAAAAATTTTAAGCTTTAAATTATTTTATTTCCAGATTACATGCTTTCTGGTAGATAAACAGTTCCTATATAGATCAAACAAACCTGGATCATAGTTGTTTGCCTTGGCCTGTGTGGGATTTCTAAATTTGGGCACATAAACAAACCATTAAATTTCCTTTATTTGACATAATAAAGAAACGAAAGCTATCATTGTTGCTTTAGGGAATCTGTATTAAGTGTTAGACGACTCAGTATTGATTTAGATGCTTATGTAAACCCGATTTTAAATTGAGAAAAAGGATTATGCAGATAATGAAATGAATCTCATTGTGATGATTCATGATTACATAAACATAATATCATCCAACTAATCCTAACATTGATTAATAGATTAATTTATTTATTTACATAATCTAGTCAGCTGTAAAGAAAATCTTTATTTTGATCTGAATTGGTATAGATTTTTTTTTACAAACACAAAATGTGGGGGCCTTGTGTTCAGCCTTTTAGTTTCAACTTTTTAGTTTCTACATTTCAGCAATTTTCCATGTTATTAACAGAAATACACAGACTGCTTAACATATCACACAAACACTCATTTTGTACTCCAGTCGCCGCTGCTGGTCCCTGGTGTGTCGGAGTTAAACTGCAAACCCTTCACTCTGGTATGTATCTGCAATAACAAACTCAGTGAGCCACCGAGAGGACGTTTCCATCTGTTTTTGTTTTTGTTTCTGTGACTTTGGCACGCATAGATTTAAAAAAGATCCTGTTACCCAGTGTGTGGCCCTGTCCTGAACCTGATCCTGAGGAGCTGAGTGATTTCACTGATCTCTATGGATCCCTCCAATTCCTGTTGACTTTTCAGGTCGTATTCTACTTAGTGTAATATACACCAAGTTTCTTTAAAATATTAACCTCTTGTAAGTCTAAAAATATGTAGACATGTATTTATTATTTTCTTTGTTTAACTTAACAGCAAGCTTATCTTGATAAAGTGATGTAATGAGAGTGCAAATCCTTCTTGCAGATAAAAGATCCAGGACCTTTTACGCCCAAATGGTCAGCTCCTATTAAGGCGTTTCTCCGTTCTTTCAGTTTGACCAATGCTGGGGTATGAAATAGCTCCCTTTCTTTTCGATTATTTACTGAGAAAGGTGATAAAGATCTACTTCTTTTTAACAGATAGGAATCCTCCTAAAATTGAACCACCATGAAGCTAAATCACAACACCACTTTAGGTAATGAGTGCCGTAGTTTTCTCTTTTTGAGTTTAAGTAGTAATGCTCCAAGTCACTACATATATCTCAGTGGTCTTTAAAAAATCCATATCATGTCTAGAAATATTTAATCATATTTTTGTAGTATCAGGTCCTGAGAATCAGTTTTAATTACATACATTCTAACTGGATCATAAATGTGTTTTTAATTCATTTAGAAATATTTTTGGTAGCTTTTTTATCGTGAGAAGACTGATTGTATCTAAAATCTGATTCTGAGCAAAAAAGATTTTAAAATGCTTAAAAATTAATAATTCTTCTTACTTGTTTTTTTTTTCCTGCAGAGTTTGGCTCAAAAGTAAAGTTACCCTTGCAGTCCAACCACCTCTGATGTTGGACATTGTTTGCTCTGCACCGTCAGTAATACTAGTTTAATATGTTTTGTTAATTATTCTGATAAATGTGATGTTTTTCTTTTAATGCCTTTACAAGTTTATAAATACTGCTGCTTATGCAGGTACGGTGAGGTCCCAGCTGTGTAATAACAGAGATTTTCTATCCTTTATAGAACTCCACGCGGTAATCAGAAAGGCTCATGGTGTCAGGGAGGACATCCTGTCGTGGGAGAAAGGTTCCCTCTCAGCATCCCACCCAGAGCCATGGATCAAGGCCTGTTCGGAGAGCTCAGCGTCCAGCTGGTTACGCTGCTCAGCCCCTGTCTGCTGCAGTACCCCAACTTGCCTACAGAACTATCTCGCATGCAAATATCCTTTTGGCTGATCAAATCATATTCTGTTCTAATTTCTTCATAAAAGCAAATAGAGAGTATCTAAAGTAGCAGATTTGTCACAAATTCAGACTTCTAATATGAGCTTGAGGCAGCTGCTTTAATCACATGATGACATCCGGTGTGTTTGTGCCTTTAGTGGGAAAATGGGGACAAGAGAGGACACCTTGTAACCTAAAGGTCATGGCACTCTGCCAAAATAGAAAGGACGGCTCCCTTTGGATTTAGTCCTGTGACTATTCTGGTGTATAATCATGAGTCAGGGAAAATGTTCAGTTTAGCTTTATTAGAGCTAGATGTTAAAACCCGCTGTTCTTAAATATCCAGCTGTTGAAGTTGTCTCATTTTAGATAGTCCCTATCCCCCTTTATAATACATGTAATAAAAAATACAGAAAAAAGCTTGATGCTGCCTTTTGTTAAAAAAAAAAAATCAAGATGTTGTCTGTACTGTCTAATTGTAAAGATTTATTAAAAGTGCCTCCTCCTGGCTGCCAACATTTGTCTTTAAACCAAAATTGGACCATTAGTATGGGCTATAATATGTGGATTGGTTAATTTTTTCTTTACCTGATTAAAAACAGGGACTGTTTGACTCTAAATAGCCAAAAAAAAAAAGGTTTCTATCTTTTGAAGGAGCAACTATGAACCTCATAAAAAGAAGTTTGTCACTAACTCCTGAAGAATGGGAGAGAACGTGCTGTATCTGAGAGGGAAAGCAGGGGCATGTTAAAATACTTTGGCTTGCAGCTATTACCAGTGGTTTCCTTCATCTGCAGTTTGACCACAAACAGTTGGTGCAGAGCTTTGCTGTTGTGGCAGGATGTGAGGCGGCCAGACTGAAAAAGGATGATCAGTCAGTCAGTTGATTGTTGGACCTTTGTCTAAGCATTTAGGGACCTTACTACGAAAAACGAATATGCAGTATGGTCTACTATATTATTATTTTAGACTTCCTTCTAAAGTAAAGACATTGTTAAAAAAACTACACATTCCCTCAAAAAGGGTTTTACAGATGAAGTCATACTGTAAGCTGATCTGGTTTCTGCCACACGAAGATGACAAAACCAGATTGTGTAGGAGCCAATTATTTTTTCTTAATGATGAAAAATGTTTTTTGTTTTTGTGCATAATCTAGCTAAGTTTATTTGAGATTATGTTTTTTAGTGGTTATTTAGTCATGTTCCTTTATTTTTTTGGTTAGTTATAATTAATTTAGGTTAATTATTTTTTATGAATAGGCAGTCAATGGTAGGACCAGCATGCATCTGGGTGGGCGTATAGTTTTTTTTTTACCAGCGCAAGAGAAACATGGAGGAAATGTTTGTCTTTTTGTTTGCTTGCCTGAGGAAAAAATAAACTGACAAAATTAAAGGAGTTTACCTGGAACATTTTTTTTATTTTGCCTGCGTAAAATAAGTCCACGGTGCATCTGTGGCCTTTGTGGATTTTCACTTTTTTGAGTCATCAAAGCTGGGCCACAACAAATTGCGTTGTAAATGCTGTAATTTTTGGTTTTGATAAGAACTTCCAGCATAGTTATTATACTCTCACATCCCTTTTGCAGAAGAAGTCAGTCTACCACTTGTTCTGATTTTTGGTGTTTAGGTTATTATTGTCAGCTAAAAGTTATTAAATCACGAAAAATACAAGTAAAAAAAAAATGTATTTTTATTTTTTGAGATAAAAACAAAAATAAGGCCTTAGCTAAAAAACATAAATTTTAATAAGAGTTCACAAACACAAATAAAACTAACTAAATGTGCTTAGTTTGTGCTTGTGTCTTTATCATAAAAACATTAATGAGGTCTAGTTTCTGGTTTCTCTTTTTAATTTTTTTAAATTATACTGAATTACAGCAGATGACAGGTATGGCAGTCAGGTTATTTGTCTGTGCTTTTTTGTCTTGCCCATGGTTTGTAAAATTGTAACTGAAACTAAAAATAAAAAAGGAATGTAAAATAAAAATGTTAACAAATACTAAAAACAAATGAAGACAAAAGTATAATTGAAAATTAAAAGACAAATCTAAGTAAAAATAAAAACCAATGAAAATTTATAAGCAAATTTTCAACCTTGATGTTAGATGATGACATTAGAAATAAAAAAAACAAAATAATTTAATCAGAGAGATGTGAGAAATTTGCTTTAGGACCTAATAATAGGAGAACATCTCTACTTCCTGTCTATTAATTACACTACTTGCAAATAATAAACATAATCAAGCAGTGTTTGTGTCTTTGTGCAAACCTAGATAATGAATAGCTAATCTAGTGTGTGGGAGAGGACAAAATGTTATATTTGTCTCAGTAACCTTTATTTTTATTGAAAACTTAGTTTCTGGTCAGCATTTGCTTTTTTAGCTTTAAATCTGCTTGGTTGTTTTGTCTCAATGTCAGGTTTGCCTTTGAAAGCATTTTCTAACAGACTGTTGTATTTTTTGTCGCACTTCAACAATTAGCCAACATTTAGTCTAGTTAGTCCTTTTGATGTGCAAACTTTCATAAATTCATTATGCTACAACAATCAATCTGAGCTGCATGGTGCAGCCCTACTTTCCTTTGTTTATTAAGGTGATTGTCAACTTTTCTTAATAAATTGTCCTTGACTTGGCGTGTTTTCAGGTGTTGGTTTACAGTCCCAGTAACATCCCTGTGTCTGCCCCATTAAGCTTCTTCCAAACCCTTCCTGCTGGTTTGGACTGCCAGCAGCTGGGGCTGGACAGGATCATCTGCTCCTCCTTCAAAGGTAAACAACAAGCATGGCTGGGAAAACAGCGTGTTCTTCAGATGCAGTGAATGTTTACCTGGAGGGGCCAGTTTTCCAATAAAAGTCTGGAAGTTCAGGGTTGGGAGGTTTGGCGTCCAGAACATTTAATCCCCTCTTGTAAAAACTTACTTAAACAATTAAAACACAGATTTGTTTTGTTCTAGGCTGCAGGGAATTGCATATAAAAAAAAACATGTTTAGCTATGAGACAATGATGCACAGGAAGCTATAATTATTGCCAGGAGCAGATAATTAAAATCAGATGAGGAAAAACACGAGCTAAAGAGCTAACCAGGCTTTCTGTTTTGTGCTTTTCTGTTTCAAATCTACTCCACTCTCATTTAGACTCTATTTATGTGCATTATTGTTACCTTTATAAAAATGTTCGTGCAGAAATTCAGGAGCCAAAGGGCGAGAACTGCACTATAACTGTATGGTCATTTCCCTAGCGACTATTTAAAACTCTAGTTTTCGCAGGGAGTGAGATTCATTTGCCTACATGATGTTGATGTAACCAGAGTAGGAGCTTTATGGTATCCCATAAAAGGATGGTCATGTTTACAATCATCCATGGGTTGGTTCCTCATTGTGTTGTATCCAGTAGTTGTCAGTTTGTGGTCATATAAAATTGAAATGTGACTCAGAGCAGTCATTGCATTCTTCATCTGGTTAGTCATTTGGATGAGCAGCCAAGCACATAAGTCCTGTAAAGCTTAAGGTCATATTTGGGATAAAAACGTTGACAATTTTCATAATAATTTAATAAATAAAAACAGATTTATGAATTTTTCCTTATGCCAATTCTGACTACAGGAGAATCTGTTCTCTGATATATTAGGCTGAAAAGCTCTGCTTTATTTTTCTGATACGTTTTATTTTTTATATATTATTTTGAAATGTACTCTTATCCAAGTAAATTTAAAAATTACATATATTTCATATATTAATGTATATTTATTTTGATAATCACCTAATAAAGCCCAGAATTGAGTGTTTCAGAAATGTTACTCAAATGGCTGCAGTCAATGTGTAAAATGCTGATGCAACAGTCGTCCAGCTGACTGTAAATGACGCCAACCACCATGAGGCTAAACCACAAAATGACAAAGCTTGTAACATTATTTTTAGCCAAATATACATATAAGCCAGATAGCTCCAGAATAAGCAGTTTAGGATGCTGTATACAAAAACATTAGTGGAAAATTAGATGGAAGAAAAAGGTGTAGTAGAAAAAATTGCAACAAGTCATTTTTTTCTTAAAATAAATGCATCTGTTCTTGGATTGAGGAGCTAAAAGAGACATCTTGCCAATGGAACAAGACATTTACACTTTAAATAAGAAAACACAATTGCATTAACTTATTTCAAGTGCATCTTATCTAATTATCTTATTTTAAGAGTAAAAATACTCATTCCATTGGCAAACTGTCTCATTTATCTGTTCAAATTAAGGGTAAATACATTTAATTTAAGACATTTTTACTTATTTCTAGACACATCAGAAATTGTGAAGCAAAGTACAGTTTTGGGTAAATTCAGATTTTGACAGCAGCTGAAGTTTGTGCTTCAAGGACAGCCACACACAGCCTTTTTCTTTGACATAGCTATGTTAAAAGAAAAATGATTAGAGGTTTTGAGTCATCAATTCACATAAATACATTTAGTTTCATTTGAAAGTCGAAGAATGTGGAAGAAGACAGGAAAACAGCAGAAACCAGGGTGCTGTAGGTTTTTATTAGCTATAATCATATACACTATAAAGCACTATAAAGCATTATACATAAAGCTATATATTGCCTTTTTTATTTCAGTACTCTATTGCTGGATTGACTTTGAAATGACATTCAAGTTTAAGATAGACCTGTTTGTGTTTCTATATGTTCTAAAAATATCTTTTTAATTTTATACCATAATTACAGGTGCTGGTCATAAAATTAGAATATCATGAAAAAGTAGATTGATTTCAGTAATTCCATTTAAAAATTGAAACTTGTATATTATATTCATACATTACATACAAACTCATATATTTCAGATGTTTATTTTGTTTAATTTTGATGATTACAAATGAAAATCTCAAATTCATCATATCAGAAAATTAGAATATTACTGAAGACCAATAAAAACAAAGGATTTATAGAAATGTTGGCCAACTGAAAAGTATGAACATGAAAAGTATGAGCATGTACAGCACTCAGTATTTAGTTGGGCCTCCTTTGGCCTGTATTACTGCAGCAATGCGGCGTGGCATGGAGTCGATCAGTCTGTGGCACTGCTCAGGTGTTATGATAGCCCAGGTTGCTCTAATAGTGGCTTTTAGCTCTTCTGAATTGTTGGGTCTGGTGTATTGCATCTTCTTCACAATACCCCATAGATTTTCTATGGGGTTAAGGTCAGGAGAGTTTGCTGGCCAATTAAGAACAGGGATACCATGGTCCTTCAACCAGGTACTGGTAGCTTTGGCACTGTGTGCAGGTGCCAAGTCCTGTTGGAAAATGAAATCTGCATCTCCAAAAAGTTGGTCAGCTGCAGGAAGCATGAAGTGCTCTAAAACTTCCTGGTATGTGGCTGCGTTGACCCTGGACCTCAGAAAACACAATGGACCAACACCAGCAGATGACATGGCACCCCAAACCATCACTGACTGTGGAAACTTTACACTGGACTTCAAGCAACGTGGATGAAGTGCCTCTCTTCTTTTCCTCCAGACTCTGGGACCTTGATTTCCAAAGGAAATGCAAAATTTACTTTCATCAGAGAACATGACTTTGGACCACTCACCAGCAGTCCAGTCCTGTTTCTCTTTAGCCCAGGCAAGACGCTTCTGACGCTGTCTGTGGTTCAAGAGTGGCTTGACACAAGGAATGCGACAGCAGAAACCCATGTCTTTCATACGTCTGTGTGTGGTGGTTCTTGAAGCACTCACTCCAGCTGCAGTCCACTCTTTGTGAATCTCCCCCACATTTTTGAATGGGTTTTGTTTCACAATCCTCTCCAGGGTGCGGTTATCTCTCTTGCTTGTACACTTTTTTCGACCACATCTTTTCCTTCCCTTCGCCTCTCTATTAATGTGCTTGGACACTGAGCTCTGTGAACAGCCAGCCTCTTTAGCGATGACCTTTTGTGTCTTGCCCTCCTTGTGCAAGGTGTCGATGGTCGTCTTTTGGACAACTGTCAAGTCAGCAGTCTTCCCCATGATTGTGTAGCCTATAGAACTAGACTGAAAGACCATTTAAAGGCTTTTGCAGGTGGTTTGAGTTAATTAGCTGATTAGAGTGTGGCACCAGGGGCCATCAATTTTGAACCTTTTCACAATATTCTAATTTTCTGATATGATGAATTTGAGATTTTCATTTGTTGTCATTTGTAATCATCAAAATTAAACGAAATAAACATCTGAAATATATGAGTTTGTATGTAATGTATGAATATAATATACAAGTTTCACTTTTTAAATGGAATTACTGAAATCAATCTACTTTTTCATGATATTCTAATTTTATGACCAGCACCTGTACAGTCAACAGCCTGCTGCTGGTATTTGCAATGTGCCCATCTATTAATGACAGTATATATATCAGAGGCAGCTCACAGACCAAGGACTTGTTATTTTTTAAACGCAGGGTTCATTTTCCAACTGGGAAAATGTGAAATTTAATTTTATAATTTTCAAATTCTTAATAAGTTGGCAAAAATAAATTTAACATAAAATTCAGGAATGTATTTGAGTCTATAGCTTATTGCTCTTTTGTTCACCTAAGATAACAAAAAATAATTATTATAAGATAAATCGATAGATAATATTGTTTATATTCACTTTGCTCACCAAATCCTATGATTTAGTTCCCAACATTGATGGTTTTGAGCTTCTGATGGTGGCAACAGAACCACACAAAATTCAGAAAACCAAAAATGTCCATTTGGCTGCTTTTTTAGAACAGTTTTGTACATCAACCAAAGTCAGTTTGGTGTTTGCTTACACATTTTACTCTGCAGTTTTGTTTAGCTTTTTAGTTTTCTTATTTAGCTTTTTACCAACAAACCAAGGAGATCAGAGATTGCATCGTGAATTTATATTTAATGCTGAATGATTCAGTCCAGACAGACGTTTCCTCTGCCCTCTCTGGGTCTACATTTCTTATAACTCATCCAAAATAGTTAGTTATCCTGAGCTATTTTCTGTATTTGTGCTGCTATTCGTTTAGGCTGCTGGATGACTTTTGGACCACTTTTCATCATTGTGCTTCATTCTATCTCTATTCTCCAAGTCTGCTGTATTTTATTAGCTCAGCCTCTATCTTTATTCTCTCTCTGCTTTTTCTCATCATTGTAGCTTCATCTGGTCTGTTCCTGTTCACAAGTGACTCCATCATGAATTTAAGTATCAGCTGTGCTGCTCTCATTGATTTCTCTGTTTATAGATGTTGGAGTTTGGTCTGTTTTTCAGAGTAGTCCTGTTTGTTTTGCTGTGACCAGCAGAACTGGCTTGGAGCTAGTCTACCTGGCTGTGTCTTTCCTGGAGGGAGCCACCTGTGGAGCCAGTTAAAGTTACCTTTTCTATATCTGCCTTTTTCTGTATATCTGCTTCTCTCTCCTTGAACCCCTGTCAGCCTTGGCAGATGGCTGCTTAGAATGAGCCTGGTTCTGCCAGTGGTTTCTTCCTGTTAAAAGGAAGTTTTTCACTCTCAACAGCTGCTACAAGCATGCTTGGTGTTTGCTGAAGAGTCAACGACAAATCTTCGCCACAGTCTAATCCAGGAGAAGCATTTCTTTAATGACTGGATGCAATCAACTGTTTTTTTTTTTTGACAGAGGCATTTAACCAATCTGACTGCATTATCTCTGTAAAGTTCCTTGAGATGATGTGTGTTGTGAATTGGCGCCACATAAATAAACAGAAACTATACTGAAAATAGGGCTTTATTTAAACTTTGTTTTCATTCCTGTTTTTCCTAAAAAAAAAAATTATTTTCACCCATTTAAATAAAATTTTTTTTTTTTTTTTTTTTTTTTTTTTTTTGAAGCCTGAATCACATCTGTTTATTGCTGGTTGCGTTATGAAATGTTTTATTCAAATCTGACCACCTGAGGGCGCTGTTTCTCTCTTTATACATCAGCGTCAACCGAATGACATCATTTTTACATACTGAGGAGTCATGGCTAGAGACCTTTAGGAACCAATAATGTATAGCAGGATAATGAGAACTGACACAGCAGGTGGGTGAGGCTATCATTGTTTTTATTTATTTATTTTTTTATGTGTTAGGATCCTATGATGATTTCGTGCACAGCTGTGGTGTTGTGTACACTGTGGAGCAAGAAAACTGGGATGACCCAGAGCAGGAAGCAGGCCATGCCCCAGTTCAGCAGAGTCTCCTGGTCTTCCTCTTCTTACAGCATATCGACCCCTTCACCTCTGAGCTCAGGGATATAGTAGGTGAGAGACCTTCACCATTGCGGGTGTAAACACAAAACCCTAAGCAGAAAAAGCTCTTAACAATACATGTTTGGTTATCCTAATTTATATATTAAATTGGTAGGGCTCTAATTGTACATATTTTTTAAATAAATTGATTTTTTTTTTTCATATTCCTTAAAAATTTCCTCTAAGGCTGTAACATCCTTAAGCTCTCATGAAAAGGAATATTTAAATCCCTAAACCTTGTTTTCCCTGCAGCTGATGAGTTGTTGATAGAGCACCATCTAGAGGATATTCTGAGCAACAACAACCAGGCTGTCACATCAGCCTTGAAGGCTGAACTTTTCAACACACTGGAAGCTTCAAAGCAACGAAAAAAGGCAAGACTGAATTTTTATCTTTAGTTTTGTATGTCTTCTTGTTTATGTTAGCAATTATAATCTGACTCGAATCAGACTTTAATAAATAATAAATGTAACAACCCTACAAACATCTGTGTATTTAGACCACCACAAAGAAACACATAATGTGAAATAAAAGGCTTTTCTCTTCTTTTTTTGTACAAATAATCAGACAAACTTGGCATGTAATTGTAGCCGTTCCTGAGAATCAACTGCACTTTGTTACGTTTACATCAATTGCAGCAGCTTAGCTCATTTAGAGAGGAATTTATCTCAGTCAGATTGGGTTGGTCCCTGCAGAAATATGCACATTTGAAGAATGTTCAAGGTTGGTTTTCTGCTTTGCAGTCTCCAAAATAGTTCCCTTTTTCTAGGAAAACCTTCATCTATCTTTACATTTGCTTTACATTTCTTTCCTACAGAAGAAAATTATCCCCGCAACATGATGCAGCTACCACCTTGGTTCACTGGAAGCTACATACTGAGGGTGTTACATGTAGACTAAAAACCAACACAGCTATTTTTCTCTTTATATACACTTTGCTGTTATCCACATAAAATATCAATAATTCATTCCTTGCACTCTTTTTGCACAATGTCATTATCACTTTATCTGGATTTATAGTTATACATATGCATATATATATATATATATATATATATATATATATATATATATATATATATATACACGAGTTATATTATCTTGTGTGGTTTGTTGTAAGTTTGTATCTGGAGCATGTAACAAAAATAATTTCCCTCTGGGATTATTAAAGTATGTCTGATATTTATTCTGATTCTGAATAAAAGCATTGAAGCATTTGGTTTTAAGGGGGGTCAAATGTGTGTTTTCTTTTAAAAGAAATCAAGATATTCATAATCTTTCATTGTTATTGTTTTATGTTTGTGTTTTAAGAGACAAGAGAAGCTGCAGTCTGCAGCTGAAGTGATCCTCAGCTCCACCATCAGCATAGTGAGCTCCAGCAGCAACATCAACTTTAGGAATACATGCTTAAAACTCATGAAGGTGGTTTGATATTGTTTTTCTTAAGTATATATATTTTAAAAGGCCTAAAATATAAATGTACATCTTCCATTGATGTGTTTGTCAGGTATGTGACACTCATGAGTTATCAGCCTCTCTGAAAGAGTCCCTGTGGAGGGTGACGTCATGGAAATTTGTCTCTAAAGTCAAGTGCTATTCTGCTCAGGTGAGTGGGCTGCTTAGTACCAACATATATATATATATATATATATATATATATATATATATATATATATATATATATATATATATATATATATATATATATATATATATATATGTATATGTATATGTGTCTGCTTTTAGCTTTATTTTAAGTCACTTTTGTAAGATATTCTTCTAACAGGTCAAGGATCAAGCTGAGAGTGATGCACTCTGCAGAGCTGAAATCTGAAACATAATCCCAGGAATGCATTTGGAATGAATTATCCTGCAATTATTTTCTGTGTCTAGTACACTGGGGAAAATATAATTTACACAACAGTTGTTCCTGTTATTTGCTGTTCGACTATAGATCTTAATTGCCCTTATACTTGTTTTTGATGGCTGTTGCTGAAATAAATTTTGTGTTTAAAACATACTGTGCAGTTTAATTTCTTACAGTTTTGAAAGAAAGTCAGTCAAACAGAATCAACCGGTTGACTTTAAACAAAGTAATTCAGTTGAAAAAGTATCCATGATGAGGAATGAAATGAATATATCTGTTCCCGCTGAGTCTCCTATTGACTATTACTGTTAATTACGCTTGACAGCTCATTTTTATCAGAAAATGAAAAACTTAAAATATCTAATTTAAACAGACTGACGTTTAAAACTACATCAATAGTCACCATTTGTCATAGTGAACATATTCTAAAGGTGCTGACAGCCCAGATAATCCACACATAGAACAAAACCAACAAATAAGCATATAAATAATGCTGTTTTATGAAACATGGCAGAGGTATTGAGCACATTAAAAAAGGGATGTGGAAAAAGGCATGGAAAGCCAAGATACCAGCTGAAATCTATTGGTGAATGGAAAGCCATCCTCAGCAGAGCAAATAAAAGATGTTTCATTACCAAGGTGTTACGCTAGGAGCAGCTCAAGATGGGTAACAGCAAATTACTCTTTCAAAACCTGCACAAACATATTAATGCAAATCATTCTGGTGGCGCTGGCTGCAGAGTGATTTTAAAACCTGCGAATATTCCAGTGAGCACTGTGGGGCGCCATGCTTTTGAAGTGGAAAGAATCACTTGGCCATAAATGGACCAGGAAGTAATTAGCAGGAACAATTGTTTGAAATAAATAGGCAGTGTACTACCAATGAGTAGAGAGAGCCAGACTGAAAGGCAGCACAGAAGCACTGATCATGGCAGCACAGCAGAGAAAAACAGGTCTAGATCTACCATACCAGGTAAGATCCCAGGTGCAGGCTTTGCAAAGAGGCCCCAGAAACATTCACAGCGCAGTGAATGCAGCAGTATGATCATACATGGTCTGCTTTTACCAACTGGCTAACTGGAAAGTAGATTTTGAAAGGTCGGTGTGACATGTTGACATATCTGCTGTATGTTCCATAAAACAAAATTCAATAAAGTTTGCATAACAAAAAAAATTTTGAGTGTCTAATTATTCATCTACTATAAGTTTGTTTAAGCACACTTATCTGTTTTGTATATGCGATTTGTCCAATAAATGAATGGCAAGCTTTGGCCAAGGGGTCCAAATAAGAGGCAACGTGCAACCAGCCGCTCACCTCACAGAAAAGATTAGGGTGGATTTTTGGCAGCTACGTTCTAATAACCAAGTTTTTGTCATTTAGACTAAAGATAAAATAATATCCATGCATTAAAGTATTGCACAATTGCATAAACTATGGCTTAAATATGGTTCCTCCAGATTAAAACGTATTTGGAAGAATTCTAATAAAAATTATATATAATTTAAATATAATGAATATAATAATTGCTTTTTCTTTTAGATATTTGAAGTGTGTAAATTCTTAATGCAACGACACCTCTAGAAACAATGCAGAAAAATGAAGGGAGTTGCAATTTAGACTGCGTGAATAGATCTAATTAACTTGGAATGTTATGATCCAAATCTTTATAACACTAATAATTCATTTCCTCCTGGACAAGAGGAATAAGTAGACCTGATAATAGAAAAACAAACAAGACTATTTTAGTTTTAGACACTGATTATAAAGCAAAGAAATAGTTTTAGTGAGTTTGTGTATGTGAAAATAACTATTTCTAAAAAATTATTGTTATGAATCCATCAGCGTATTTTATGCTTGATTTGCTTTAATCAAACCGCATCTACACATAATTTAAAAATATAGAGGGTTCAGTGTGACTCAATCTTTTTATTATATCATTAATTTCTTTATACCTTGACAGAGAACCTAATGATTTAGAGCCCGGTTGTATTACAAATGTCCGCTTGTGATGCTCTTACATAATTATCGGCTTATTACCTGAGTCTTCAAAGCCAGGCCCTTCCCACAACATGAACCTGAGCCAATTATTTGTCACCAAACAACATAAAAACGGAGGTGTGGAAGAAAATCAGGGAGCAGAGATCACTCATTCACATCCAAAGCTTCACTGACACTTCAATATGGACAATCCAGGTTAGTGTTTTTTTTTTACTGATGGTGCAGAAAACATCAAAATTTTAAAATGTAAATGAGACATGCAATGGCAATGATATGATTTTTGTTTTAGATTTTTTTTAAATCAACTAGAAAGCAATATTTTGAGTATCCTGTCTTTAAAGCGCAGGCTGGAGACCATTTTCAAACCTTTAATAATAGTTTTTCAAACATGCAAATTTCAGTTTATTTAAAGGGACACTTTTCACCACAAATTAATAGAAAAAAACACAAACACACATATCCAGTGACTCTTACTCCATAACAGACAAATTTATTACATTTGGCGAAGCATCTTTGAAACCAGACCCAGTTTTGCTGTATTTTTCAAATTCATATTTTGAATATATAACAATTTACTAATTCATTTTTACTTATAAGTAATAACAGGTTTAGATCTTATTAGTTTGTTCTTCCATGGAAATATTTATCTATTAATATGTCATAAATGTTGCACAAAGACAGAGGAATATGTAGATAATGCTTTATGACTGTCCTTTTCTATGCATATTTCTCAGTGACTCAGCAGTGCAGATACTAGGGTCAAAATGATAGCATCATGGAAGAGAAGCTGAAGCTTCAGAAAAACACGACTGACCTGCTGCAAGACAGTAACTTTACTTATAACTTAGAAAACACAGCGACTCTGAAAATCATGTGTGCATTTTACCAAAGGTTTTACATTCTTCTTTTAATATAACATTTAAAAAAAAAAAACTAATATTACTACTAATACAATTTTTCTTTCACCACTACTTTAGGCATTTTTACCCGGTTTGCACACCTATGAGTAGAGAATTGTTGTGAAACATGAGGTTTGTCTTTTTGCAAGTAAAATTGAATTATTAGTATAGTCTAAGTACTTATTTTTAATCAACCAACCTTGAGTTTACCTGCTCCTCATCTGTTGTAACTCAAAGTAGATTTCTCTGCCCTCTGTCATTGCATATCTTCAGGCGTGTTTCTGTAGTTTTGCCCACTGTGGACCTGGGTGAGTTGTGGTGGTTTGAGGTTGTACCTTTTTCTAGTGTCTGCTGTCGTCTGCTGCATCACTGCTGTAAAGTGAGATGCCTTCATAGACCAGTCTTCTTTAGGCTTCCCTAGTGGTTACTTTCTGGAGGCGGCAATCCAGCATCGCTATGGAAGGTGTCCTAAAGCTGTGCGTTAGGGCTGCTGTTGGGCTACGATGGCAGTGGTATTGATAAGGACAGCTCTCTTTATGGTGCTGGTACTGGTGCTTAGGTTCACTTAGCCCAATCCTGAGGATTTTTCAGAAGCACTGCTGATGAAGATCAATTACCCTTGCTCTGGATCTGTTACAAGCCCAGCTAGCACAGCTTTGGATGCTGAGGTGGCCCTGCCTTTATAGGTCTTTTATTTTCAATGCATGAGGCTGGTGGTTAGACAGTGGTGCTGCTACTGAGGGGTGGTTGAGAGATGCTTTGAGATATTAAAATGGGCTACCTGGGCATTTTCATATATAATAGTTATTGTAGAAAATCAACCTTTGACTTGAGATCTACGTTATGTTATCACTAGATTATGTTGTGAGCATTTTGTGAGTAGCTGCTGTAGTATGCAGGTTAAATCCTTCTCTCACGACGTTGCTTCTTTTGAGGTTATGGTCTGACCTTTTCTGGCCTTAAAGTCATCCTGCAGGACTAACATTTCCTCCCCGGGAACCTTAAATAAGGTGTTATCCAGGTCAGACTTCAATCAACATCAAGCATTGGAGTAAAGGCTCTGATCATGGCTATTTGGCTGCTTGCAAGAGTCAAATATTATGAAGCTTTGAGTTTGCCCATAGGAAGCCCAGGGAGATGGTTTATAAAGCTGATCCCATAAACAAAACCTAAGCTGGGGATTTCTTAGCTCTTCTAATGGCTGTCCGTTCCAAAAGAAAGTGTATCTACCATTTTCCTCATTCAGCTGGCCTTTATTGGGTAGATTGCAGTGATAATCTGGGATTGAATTAGCCATCTGGAAAAACCTAATCCCACTGTCCTATGAATTACTGGCCTATTACAGTAGTACTGTAATTTAGCAAGTAAAATGGTGATCTGAGGACTGTCTTTTAAAACAGCAAGCCCCTCATAAGTAAATCAGATAAAATAATTGATAGATAGAAACAGAACAGAACCAATAAAATGATGTGATGATGTTATAGTTTGGAGTCAAATTATCTTTTAAAAAACAACAAGCAATATAACAGGTTTAATAAGCAATTCGCAATGCAAATCAGAAATAAAACTTATTTTAATAAATTATTAAATTTCCTTAATGTTGCTATTGATTAACCCTCTGAAGGACAGATGAGTTTCAAAAATGAAGAATAAACATCCAAATAATGAGTGTTTATTATTGAATATCTTCTTCTTTTTTTTTTAGTCACTTATGAGGAACTGAAGACTCTTCTGGCCAACAGCAAAAACCTGATTCTGATTGACGTCCGTGAGAAAAACGAGGTGGACCAAGGATGCATCCCCAGATCCACCCACATTGCCCGTAAGAGCTGGTTTATTAAATGCAGTTGAATAGCTTTGTTTTGTATTAGACTGTTCTTTTATTGTCACTCGATTGTGCCAAAGGTCTCCTGTTGTCACTTTCTCCTGTTTCTTTTTACAGTTGGCACTGTTGAGGCTGCTTTTAAAATGAATCCAGCAGACTTCCAGGCCACATATGGGATTCCCAAACCTGCAGTGGATGCACCTGAGCTGGTGTTCTACTGCCGATCAGGAAAGCGATCAGCAGAGGCCATCAGCAAAGTCAAACAACTTGGATATGTGACGTAATTACGTTTTTGTTTTGTTTTTTGCAGCCTGAGTATGACTTCATTGATTCCTAAAGATCCATAATCTTAACTTTGGTGTTTCTGTTCTCTTTTGCAGAGCA